ACACACACACACACATATACATACATACATACATACATACATACATACATACATACATACATACATACATACATACATACATACATACATACATACATACATACATACATACATACATACATAGCCATTGGTAGTCTTATCCTCCATTATAAAATGGTGGGTTTGCTTTGGGACTTGCTTGGAGGACTTTGGCTAATCAAGAACATATGTTGACTCTTCCTGAAAATGCTCTTTTTTTTCATTTACTTTGAGTCATCTGCATCATTGGTGCTTCGAAGCTCTGCTAATAAGCAGCAGCAGATAACATGTACAGTAGCTCTTCTTATTAGGCTCCCATTCCTGTCACCAGTGCTAGTGGACACTGATGGGTCCTGGAGTCAGCAACATGAAAAAGGCCAAAGGCTCCTGATCCCTAAACTGGAGCAGAAATTACAGGCACTGAGGCTCTGATCCAGCTAGAGGCAAATGCATAAATAACACATGGTTTGTTATTTATTTTAAAGTTGGTGAACAAGATTAAGTTTGAAGAAGACATTTCTTCTCTTAAATCTCAGTCTTTTTAATGTTCGGCATCAAATAACCCTTCTAAGTACTTGTACAAAGTGAAGGTGTCTGTTCTGATGATGTTTACTCAGAGTAGAGGCTTACTAAATGTTGGCTGAAATCCTATAGCTTAGCATAGTTAAGCCACAACTAGAGTATGCCTAGTGAATCAGCAGAACTCATGGAGGAGCTGACTTATAACATCCACACTGGTTCAATGAGCCTACGGTAGTTGCAATTTACTAGGCTAAGCAACAGGATTCTGGCCATTACAGTTTAAGCAGACATAATCCTCATTGGATGGTGTATGTGGGGGGTCAAAAATGTATTGAGGATTTGCATATTCTAAATCTGCATTTTTAATTATGGATACATGAGGCCCAAATAAAAGCCCTATTTAAGAGCTTCATACAAGGGTTACATACAAGGAGCAGGCTATTTCTACCCTTTCTGTCCTAACCCTTTCTGCTGGAAGGCTATATCTCTGTGCAACTGGAGACCCTGATTCTGCAGGTTTTCTGAGCACGTGGGGAGCCCCTTTAGAAAGAGACTGCTTGCTTCTTCTAGTTTAACATTCAACACAGGACACCTGCAACACGGGAAAGGAGGGTGAGCTTGATGGGTTAAGCTCCTATATGATGAATGCTTCCAGATCATCCTTCCCTTCCTGGTGCCATGTAGATGCCTTGGAGTGAAACTCCAATCTTTACAAGCCAGCATGTTTTAAGCTTAACATGACCTGATTTGAGTGCTTTCCTGCTGTGGTTATGTTTTTAAATCTCTTGTTTTTCATCTTCTTTAATTGCCTTCACAGCAATACTGCTATCTGCCCAAGGCAGACATTTTTGCCCTTGCTTTAACAATCGCTCAAGCAGCAGGCTGTGGACCATTGCCAGCCAACGATACCATGTGGCACCACATCCGCAAGGGCAACCTGCCGTCAATCCCTCAGCAGCTGTCACATAGTTTTATACAACTGCTCAAGGTGAGCTTCCTTGTAAGGAGTTGTAAGGATAGCATTGGTTGTTTCAGCAGTAATATGGAACTATCTCCCTCTGTTCTTTGTTTTTCATTGAACCTCAGCTTATGATTCATCCTGACCCAGTGGCAAGGCCATCCGCTATGGCCCTCACCAAGCACCCTGTCCTCCGACCTTCTCTTGGGAAAGCTGCCCAGCTTCAGAAGCAGCTCAATATGGAGAGGTTCAAAACTGCCATGCTTGAAAGGTAAAGCCCCCTCCCTAGGGTGTGTAAAGGACAAAGGCCAATACAAGGTAGAATTTTGTCGCCCTTCCAGACTTGGTACAGCTACATTTTTTTTTAAACTTGTGGTTAGGGGCCTCAGGAAGTTGTAATACAAAAAAGCAAACAATGACAACAAACTTTTCCAACTCTGCTATTTTCCTTTAGACTCCACAGCCATAGTTAGTGGTGTTTTGAGAACAAAATAAGGAGTTCATAAGGCAAGGCAGCCTCATGGCCCTTTGCCTTTCTCCACAGACACACAAATGAAAATAAGAAGTGCATTAGGAATGGGTAGTGGCTCACTTGGTTCTCATTCTAGGCCATTATAACTCGCCCTCTCCTCTTAAAGACAGCCCAGAGGTTTATGTATGCCCGGTAGCATTTTCAGCTAGTGGTATTTTATAGCTTTGTATTTACCTTAACATTGGTTGCTGTGGGAAGGCTAAAATGGATGTGTTGGTCACTCTTAAGCATGGAAATGTTGGGTGTTTTTGTACTATAAATTCCATCATTGTCCATTCTGGGAGTTCCATCTGACATACAGACACCTAACTGTGGCTCACGTACTATAAATTCCATCATTGTCCATTCTGGAAGTTTCATCTGACATACAGACACCTAAATGTGGCTCACCTGGGACAAAGGCCTAAACTGGAAAGCTTTGTGGCCTAGCTAGGCCTAGTTTTGCCTAATTTCCTGTTCAGAAAGGAAGCTCCTAGAGTCCAAAAAATCTAGTCACGCTGTTTCCTTAGGAACCAGCAACACACCTTGTTACTTCCACCACAGTTGCAGGGCTAACTGCATGACAGGGACAGGCTTTCCTTCCACATATGCACTTGTATTCTGGTGTAAAAGGAGCCTTGTGGCACAATGGTTAAACTGCTGTACTGCAGCCAAAACTGTGCTCACGACCCAGGGTTCAATCCCAGGTAGCCGGCTCCAGGTTGACTCAGCCTTCCATCCTTCCGAGGTCCGTAAAATGAGTAGCCAACTCGCTGCGGTGGGGATGTGTAGCCTATATAATTAACTTATAAGCTGCCCAAGTGCTATGGGATGATATATAAGCAGCATACGTTGCTTTGCTTTTTAAAAGACTGTCAAATTATGTGTGGTTAATAATGTATTCGCTTAGTGATGAATTTTTAAAAGACTGTCAAATTATGTGTGGTATCTGTATACATACTAAGATAAGAATGTGAAAAAAATGTGTTTGCTCGAATCCCCCAGCCAACTAGCCATGCTGGCTGAGTTAAGCGAGGCACCACTGTACATACTAAGATAAGAATGTGAAAAAACTGTGTTTGCTCGAATCCCCCAGCCAACTGGCCATGCTGGCTGGGGAATTCTCGTAGCTGCCGTGAAACAGTAACTTTTCCAAGCTGTAGCGCTTATATTTACCTTGATCTATGACACCTTGTCATCATGGCCTTTGTTCAGAGCCTATTTGAAGATCCTCTGCCATCCATAACATGCTCCGTCTCAAGAAATATTTTCTGCATTTCTTCGTGGTTATTTAGGTAACTGTGTCTCTCTTTCTCAGGGAGCTGAGAGCAGCTCGCCTTGCCCAGACCTTTAAACAGGATCAATTTTTGGAATGTGTCCGACCTCAAGGATCTGGAACCCACTCAAAGCAAAAGAACAGCAAGAAACACCTGGTGGGTGGAAAAAGCACGCGGTCATTCAGCTTCACTTCCACTGGCTGTTGAGGACCAAACTTTGCAGGTCTTTTGAATTACTGAAGCATATAATGGAGCAAAGACCTTACAAATGACTTTTACCTGTGTCATCATGAATAATGCAAATACATTGGTTGTGTTTAATATCAACTGGCACAATATCAATGTGTGTTCTATTACATTGCAGCATCTCTTTCCAAGTCTGCCTATCCTCCGGATTTGACATCTGTAACTGAGATTGTGGTGAGGCCATTAAAAGTGCAATCATAATGCAGAGGGGCCATGGCTGCTGCTTTAAAAATAATATTTTTAAAACATTAATTGGTGTATTTTCTCTCTTGGATTCCTGAAAGAGCATGTACCTTAATTTCCTTTCTCTAGCTTTTCTGTTAGCCTACCTATTTTTTTTAAAAAAACTTCTGTGTTCATTATTTATTCAGGGGAAAAAGATCTGGAAATAATTGCTGGAAGAAGTATTTGATAGGCAGCAGCTGGAAAAAGGAAATTAAGCCATCAGACTCTTTAGGTAGGACTAAGTTTTGAGTCCTATCTAAAGGGCCAGGCAACATATCTAGAGCAAAATATATTTTTATGTAACAGTCCTAATGAAGAAAATCTTGAAATTTAACTGAATAGCACTGTTGATAATGGATATAAAGGAAAAAAGTATGTTTTGGAAAGAGGTTGTTTGTCCGATGCAACAGCAGGCAAGGTGTAGCCTGGCCTTGGGTGTATTTTTTGGTCTAGAATAAAGCCCCTGCTTTATTCTTAAGCAGATGGTGGATGACTCACATTATCTGACAGGTAAAGGCTCTTTCTGACCAGTAAATGCTCTTCTACTTATAAACATCTAGGGTGGGGACGGTTTTTTAAAGCACAGTGGAAGGGACGTAGAAATGCTTTTTTAGAATGCCATCATTTTCTGGGGATTACATTATGTAAAGTGTTCCTAATAAAATAAAGTAAACCTTTTGTCCCTGTCTAGTGTTAATGACTGGTATGGTTCTGTGAACAAAACCCACCATTCCATCATCCATTTGCAAGACATGACCTTTGAGACAGTACCCTTTAATGGAAGATTTGATTCACCGTGTAAGCTCTCCCAACTTTACTGAATGTGGTGTTACTTCAAGCTGCTGGACAGCACTAACTTTTTAAGGTGTTTAGACTGTTTTCCCAGTTTTTTAAAAAAGAACATGACACCTGTGTGAATAAAGCTTTTAATCTTCTTTATTTAAAAGTCTCTGTGTGGGAGAATTTCTTTGAGATTGCACAAGGAAAGGATGATGACTTTATTTAGCCACATGCAGACATCATTTGGGACTGATTCAAGGATGCAAGTAAGTAACAGTTTCGCCCAGCCTGGTGCCCTCCAGATGTGCCAATCCAGAGCTTCTATCATCTTTATTTAGCAAGTGGATCTAACTTGCAAAGTTGCTCCCCAAAAGATGCTGCCCATTTCATATCCACTGAAGAGAAAAGGTTAGATGAAGAGGTAGGATTACAGTTCTGTCCTTCAAGATTACCCCATCGCCATCAGTAGTGCTCTTGTCAGAGCTTTGGATCCTTTTTAACTCTACCACCTCTGTGAATCTTTTTGCCCCAAAGTCACACGTTTCTGTTTCTGTATTGTTTCAATAATCTGTTTTAAAGGAACTGAGGTACCCCTTAATGACTTATCAGACAAAAACAAAACAAATACAAAATAATAAAGACAAAAATGTGCTACTTTAAAGATGAATGGCTATATTTTAATGTGAGCCGGTTTGGATCTCCCTAGGCAGAAAAAGGCGAGAGATTTCAGTCGGCCACGATCTGTGTAAATGGCCATTAGTACAGCAATCCTTTCTGGGCACAACTATCTGCATGCAAACCTAGGCAGCTGCCTTGCTTTTTAAAACGATAAAGACCTTCCAGCGCTTGAAAAATTCCGGCATGGTTAGGAGAGGAAGAACTCCTGTTTCTACCGTTACACTTTTTGTTCTGCAGTGTAGACACAGACGGAGTAAAATCATGCATTTCCCTCCCTGCAATAACTAAAGGCCGCTCTCACTTCCTGTCCGGGGAGAGGTAAAGAATGAGACAAAGATAGCTTTCTTAAATAGGAAAAGAGTTTGGCGTCTCTCTTTAACTTATAAGTCTATGGTCCGTGGAGGAGCCATACTGGGTTGATAAAAGGGCGCTACAAAGTTTGAACGGAGGGCGGAAATAGTGAGCGGAAGGTTGTGTTTGCTCCCTGGTGTCGCTCTATCCCGCAGCAACTCTATGGTGAACCTTTTCTTCCCACCCTCTCCTAGGGTTAGAAAGTTGAACGCGAGAGACCGGAAGTGACTGAAGATGGAGCCAGGTGTTGCCGCTCAGTGTCCTGTCTCTATGATACCGTCGCATGCCTTGCGGGGCAGGAGGGAGGAAAGGAGCGACGCCGAAGAGCCTCACGTGGGAAACTGGTCGGGGCAGGATTTTTTGAGGTGAGCGCGCAGAGCCAGCCCGGTGGATCGGGCTGCAGCATTCAGTAGGATAGCAGGTTCCTTCATAGGATCGCCCGCATCTTCTCAATCCTTGGGGAGATTTTATTTGCCTTTAGTTACTCCAGAGGAACCCCATCTGAACCCTCCAGCAGTATCTCATGTTAGCCTTCCCGGACCTGCTCTCGCCTTCAGAGAAGAAGCCACTGGTTCCACCAAACCTCTGCACATGTTCGTTCTGCTTTTTAATTGGGACGGAGGCGCTCCCATAAAAACTTGGGACAAGGCAATAGCTCCCTGCCATTAAAGGTACATGTGTTTTTTTTTGCCGTTTGCAATGCTGTTCGTGAGGACTTTGCTAAGTTTTGGTTCAGCGAGCTGTGCTTTCAAACGGGCCTCTGTTTTTACTCCAGCGTTTTGCAAGTTGGGCTCGAGGGTCCTCGACTCGCTTCCTAAATGGTGCTGCTCCTCCTCCTCCAAGATTTAGAAAGAAGTGGGCATCGTTTCCGCAGAAAGACTTTTTAATGTGCTGTTCGTGAGGACTTTGCTAAGTTTTGGTTTAGCAAACGGTGCCAATATCGATCCCTTAATAATAAGACTGCCTTCAAACGGGCCTCTGTTTTTATTCCAGCGTTTTGCAAGTTAGGCACGAGGGTCCCGGACTCCCTTCCTAAATGGTGCTCCTCCTCTTCCTCCAAGATTTAGAAAGAAGTGGGCATCGTTTCCGCAGAAAAAACTTTTTAATGTGCATTTTCTTGGAAGTTTGGGCAATGCCTTCTCATTGCCCCTCCCCCAAAGCATTCACCTTCTGTCTCATTGAACTTGGGTTTGCTCCTGCTGGGCTCTTCAAACCAAGAAAATAAAATAAAAATAAATAAAGGAGAAATGAGAAAAGAGAATCAAGTATTGACTGGAGGGAAGGCCTGAATAAACATCCATGTTTTTAGTTGGCTTTTAAAGATAAAAGTTGGCTTTTAAAGAAAAACTTCCATTTTCTTGGAAGTTTGGCAATGCCTTCTCATTGCCCCTCCGCCAAAGCACTCACCTTCTGTCTCATTGAACTTGGGTTTGCTCCTGCTGGGCTCTTCAAGAAAAAGGAATTTCATCTTTTGTGTCTCTTTTGAGGTGTTGCCACGTCCAAACTGGATATTATCTTTTCCTGCCTTTGATCCACAGGGCTCGGCAGGCTATGATGCTCTCAGGTCTTTTGTTTTGAATCCCACCTGAAGCAGGGTTGGGAATTAAATCTCTTTCATACATAGATGCATATAAGTAATTAACCAGCCTGTGTTCCTTTTTGTATGTGTTGTCCATGCTTAGGATTGATGCGCTCAACTCAAGAAAGTTTACTGGCTTTGGACTGTAGCTGCCAGAATTGTCACTATAGAACTGGCTATGGTGACTGGAATTGTAGTCCAAAAAAGTTCAAGCTGTCCTGATGCCCAGAGGATGTAGAAGACCTGCGCCACACCCTTGGCATTGCGTGCTGTGCTTGCCCCATTTCCAGAGCCAGTACGGCTGTCCCAGTTAGGTGGGGCTGAAATGCCTTTTATGCAGATGCACTTGTTGCAGAGTTTGGTGCTATAATGGGCTCCTCCAGCCTTTCAGTTAGGTGGGGCTGAAATGCCTTTTATGCAGATGCACCTGTTGCAGAGTTTAGTGCTATAATGGGGTCCAGCCTTCCAATTCCCATGCCTTCACCCCAATGTTACACTCAAATCCATGCTGTTCATCTACTGGGAGCAGCGGCGGTTCAGAGAGAGAGACTATGGCCCAAGCCCTCTTACTTTGTTACGCTGGCATAGCACTTTGTTAGGGCTGAAATGCCTTTTATGCAGATGCACCTGTTGCAGAGTTTAGTGCTATAATGGGGTCCAGCCTTCCAATTCCCATGCCTTCACCCCAATGTTACACTCAAATCCATGCTGTTCATCTACTGGGAGCAGCGGCGGTTCAGAGAGAGAGACTATGGCCCAAGCCCTCTTACTTTGTTACGCTGGCATAGCACTTTGTTACACTGTGCTATGCCAGTGTAACAAAAATGCAAATTGCCCCACCATAGATATTAACAGGTGCATACTGACTTGGATGATGCAAGGTGCAAGCAATGATGTCCGTGGTGACTGCTTAACTTGGGGCAGTTTGCCTCCAAATGTTGGGCCTGAGTATCTGTTCTTAAAAATGGATCTCCTTCAGCATGCCAGGGGAATGCATATGAAAGCAGGGCAAACTTAGTTGTAGCAATGCTTTCTTTCCTTTTTGAATTTGCAGTAACTGCTTTGCTAATGTTTCTCCTAAAGTCAGTCTTTTTCAATCTGATGCTCTTCAGAGGTCCAGGATTGTAAATCCCATAATCTCAAGGTAATTATTAGGCAGAAGGTCGCCCAGCCCATGGGGGGGAGCTGTGAGTTGGGGATGGCTAGTTTAATTAAAATGTTGGAAGCCAAAGTCTTCTCTGCATTAATGTCTTGGTCCTGCCAGCCAAGCTACTACATAAGTGTAATGCTCCCCCACTAGGGAACCGGTTTTATGAATTGTGTGATTTTTTACAGTGATGCCTCGATTTACGAACTTAATCCATTCCGGAATGGTGTTCGTAGGTCGAAATGCTCATAAATCGAAGCACCATTTCCCATTGAAATGCATGGGAACGGGATTAATTCATTCCAGCATTTCAAATAAAATAAAATGAAGCACACAGAAAGCCCCATCGGAAAGCGCTGGGGCTTAAAAAAAAATAACCAAAAATAAACAGAGCAAGCCCCAAAGGCTGCAAAAAAAATATCACCAAAACAAACAACACGGCACAGAAGCATAACCCACCCTGCAAAACCCACCCAGAAGTTTCTAAAAAGCCAAAAACAGCACCTTACCAGGCAGACTGAAACCTCCTCTGATGGCACTCACTCCCTGGTGGCTGGCAGCAGGCTGCATAGGCCAGCCGAGGAGGCGGCAGGGCCCTTACTCATGAGTAGACTCGCACCAGGGATGGGCAGGGACCGCACCGGCTTCCCGCACCCGGCTGCGAACTGGAGCCACCCCGCCTCTCCTTCCTCCTCCTGCGCCTCTGCCGCATGCCCCGTCCCCGGAGGAGCCCCTCCAACCCGTGCGCCCCCGCC